GTCTTCACCATGTCACCTTCTTTTATTTTAATTGTGTATATTTTATTTATGACTGTGTGTGTGTGTGTGTGTGTGTGTGTGTGTGTGTGTGTGTATGGAGAGGGAGAGAGAGAGAACACACAAAAGACGACCTTGGGGAGTCTTCCTTCTGAACTCCACCTTCCTCTCTTGTAGCAGTCTCTCATTGTTCTGGAAGTCAAACTCCCCATTTAGGCTAATCTGAAGACTTTTTGTCTCTATTTTCCAGTGTATGAAAATTTATAAATACATTAACATGACACCCTGAAGAATTAACTAAAGAAAACAAGTATAGCCTCTTTAGTTAACCCTACTAATAAAAGTTAAGTTCATTTTCCTATATAAATGTTATAGAGATATAATTATAAAACTCGTCATCTAATGTATTTACAAAAGAATTCTACATTTCCTGAGGAAAAAATGAAAGATATTAAAACAATTACTTAAATGTCAATGTACTTGTGGTGGTTTGAATAAGAATGACCCCCACAGGCTTGAACATTTGAATGGTTCATCACCAGGAAGTGACATTGCATGGAAGGATTACATCAACTAGGAAGTGTGACCTTCTTGGAGTAGGTATGGATTTGTTGGAGAAAGTGTGTCACTAGAGGCATGCCAGGTCCAGTCTCTCTTGGTCTGTAGAACAGGCTATAGCTCTCACCTACTGCTTTGGAACCATGTTTGCCACCATGCTCCCGTCCATGATGACAATGAACTAAACCTCTGAGATTGTTAGCAATCCCCCAGTTAAATGTTTTCTATTCAAAGAATGACCTTGGTCATTGTGTCTCCTCACAGCAATAGAACAGAGAGTTAGTATTCAAACATGCTATAAAGTTGCAGTAAGAAAATGATGTCACAAAATATAATTTTTGTTTTTCCTCAAATTTATTATTACCATGGTAATTGGGTTGATCAATTTTAATTTGCTATGACAAATGTCTGATAAAATCAATTAACTCAAGGAAAGATTTATTTTTAGTTCATGGTTTTAACCCACTATTATTTGTTCTGAATATAGGGGACAAACATCTGCTATAAGAAAATCAGACTCATCCTTACCAAATGCTTCCATGTTTTAGCAGCTAATATCTTTCATGAACATATATTTCTAGCCAAAGGTTTTGTTCATGCAAATATCCAGAGTCCTTCTCTTACAATTCCCTGTACATGTTCTTGGAGACTACACATCTGTAGTTGAGGTTGACTGTCTCCACTCTAAGTTACATATTCCTTCTCTAGGATTAGGGCAAGCTGATCTGATACTGATGAGAGTATGAATATAAGTCATCAAGTGAAATTCAGAGTTCCTGGCTTCAGATATTGAGAAATTAAATAACACATAAATACTATACCATTGTCTCTGCATGTATGCTTTCCTTAATTTTGAAAAGATTGACATGATTTTCTATGTCATTGGAGGGTCACACACACCCCCACTCCTTAGGAACAAGTGCTTTCCTATATTTGAAAAACAATCTTTAAAACATAAGTTTCAACTTTTTTTTTAAAAAAAATGAAGTTTGTGTTGATGTAGTGAAAACATCAAAAAGTTGGTAGTGCTCATGCAGTGTGAGTTTGTGAACAAACTAAAATTCATTGAATTATAATTTCAAAAGGTGGATTTTATGATTTTTAAATTTTTTTCATGAAAATAAAATTATATCACTTTGCCTCTCCCTTTCCTCCCCACAGCTCCTCCCAGATACCCTTCCTTCAACCCTCCTCGACTTTCAAGTTGATAGCCTATTTTTACTTTTATTAATATTTTTGCATATATCACTTATATTTCAATAATACTATCAACCTTTCTTTCATTTTAACTTGTTTGCATCTGTCTAGGTTTCTATCTTGAATTTTACAAATTACCTATGTTTGTATCTTTCTTTTAGTCATGGGAAAACAAAATGGGCAATAATGTGCTAGTTTAAGAACAGCTTTGTAATGTACCCATCCACCCATAGCTGAATCTAAGTACTTTATTTATTCCAATTCTGTTGCTGAACAGTTTCCAAGTGTCATGTGACACAGCCATACCAATGAAGAACAGTTTCATCAAACTCAAATAAAATGACTGATGTGATACCCCACAAAAGTCTATTTAACAATTTATTAGGGGGTGCAATGAAATGCAAACTCACAAATACAGTACAAGGCAGATGATGCTAATCCAGCTGCTGCTGTCTTGTTTCTCTCCCAAGGATGAAGGTGAAGATGAGCAACTGCAAGGCTTGTTCTGGCTTTCACCACCAAAGGGAGTGTGGTCAGCTCTTTTCCTCTATTTTATCATGTCATCTTTCCAGAGAATTTCACACCCATGTCAAGTCACTCCCAAATGTCATTGGCTAAAGGGATTAAGCTCCTACAATATCCACCCACTTTTTTCTAGATAAGTTTCTAGTACTAAATGAAAACTACTACAACCAACAAGAACAACATCAAGCAAGAAACACATTCTAAATTTCCAGACCATAGGTAATACTCCAATAGCTGTCCTAACCTGAAGAGTCCAAGTCTTGTACTTAATATGCCCTTAGCTAAGATATGAGAGGATTGTAACAATTACTATCTAATCTTCAACCCCATCAGAGGCCCGAGAAGGAAAATAGAATTACCGGAGTAAGCATGAGTAAAAGCAAGAGACTTCTGAAAGATGTAAGAAATAACAGAAAACGCTGACTACCTGGACAGTCACCCATATGTTTCTCTATAATGTTGGGACATCCAACTTTGGCTATAGGCCTAGAATATCTGACAGAATATTTTCAGAGGCAGGAAAATTTGAAGGACTCTCCTACCTTGTCTCAATGAGGTTCAGCAGTCACTTTTTTTAATGTCCTGCTTATCTGGATTGGATAGCATGTTTTCTGTCAGCAGTTGGAACAGTTCTTTTCCCAATGGGCCAGTTTTGTCAAGAAGAAAACAAGCTTCAGATAGAATGTCTGTGTTGCCCATTGTTCTCTCAGGAGGTGCTGCCAGGAGCAGTCGTAGCTCATTTCAACAATATTGTAAGTTATTAAAACATTTAATTGCTATACTCTGTAGGTCTTTAAAGTGTTTGAATATTACCTATCTATAAGGAGTACATCTTTGTGCATCCAGAAAACCTAACTAACATAACTGTAAGTATGACAAATATGGGTGACTATTAACCTATACGGCTTAATTGCTAAAGCTTCAAATCATTAAATTAACAATATGTAAACATATGTACAGTATAAAAACAATGACCTTGAAATCTGACAATATACAAAAATATCTTAATCAGAGGTAGAAAGGTACAGTGCAATATGACAAAAATATTTTTAATTTACATCAATAAAAAATATCCTAAACAGAAGTAGAAATATACATATAGCATGACAAAATAATCTTACACTTGTAATAAAATACAATAATATTTTAAATAGAAATGGAAACATGTACAATGTGACAAATAAAATTTTGAATTTGTATCAATATGCAAATTAACTTAAACAGGAACAGAAAAATCATTTTACATTTGTATCACACAAGAATACATACCATTGCAAATCATCCAAAATTGACATTTGCTATTTTAATTTGCAAGTTGATAAAATAATCTACCTTATTGTCTTATCCTATTTATCCCTTTTTTTTCTATTCTAAGTGAAATTACTGAGTCTAATTTCTATTGCTCTTCCTCTAATCCTAAAGCAACTATAATCAACCATTGCAGATGAAAATTATCCATAGCCCTGAGAGAAACCAAAAAGTCATCCATTCCACCTATTGAGAGAGGAGATATCCTGTTCTTGGAATTGCTTCCTGCTGTCTAGGGAGCAGCTGTATCTCTATGGGATCCTGAAAAAAAAAAAAAAAAAAAGGTTGCATCTCTTGAGCACTAGCTGCAACATTTGTATACAGTCTTTGAGTAATGGGTAAGACTTATCTGAAGTTCTAGCTAAAGTGGTATAAAAAGCTACCTTAGAATAGTCCGGAGCATTTTGTAGTCCAAAGTCGATCTTTGAGTGGTGTTTATCAGCTCAATGGCATTATTATGGATCAGGCAGAGTTGTTGTTGTGGGGCCCCATCACATTTTTTGGAGACTTAAGAGATCACTGTTAGGATAATTTATTGTTCAATGTGAAAAACTTAAACATTATTAATATCAAAACAGAAAGTTCAAATTTTTAGTATATATCCAAACACAGGTACTAAAGAGTCAAAAATAAATTTGAGGGGAAAGAGATTTGTGACAACAATAATTATAGTTTTCCTTAATTATGATAAAGGATAAATTATGTATGAAACTTTAGGTTCACAAAGATAGGATAAATGATAGAGTATTTTCTTTCATTTTCCCAAATACAAATATACTAAATATTCTAACTGTAATTCTTGTTTGATAACTGTTTTGGTATATGTAATTTTACTATGTTAAAGTTAAAACTTACCTTTTCAATTAGAGAGCGGGAAATGATATGGGATGTCTTTCTGTATATTGTGAATATGTTTTATTACTATTGTTTAATAAAGAAGCTGATTTGGCCAATAGTCAGGAAGAATAGAGCCAGTCAGGAAATACAAGCAGAAAAGAAGGGTGGAGTCAGAGAGATGCCAGCACCTACTCCATCAGGGAAGCAAGATGTGAGGTACAAGCCATTAAGCCTGAGCTAATACACCAATCAGTTTGTAATTAATATTAAGCCTCTGAGTGGTTATTCAGGAACTGGCAGACAGGAGAGATACATCAGGTTACAGAATGACAGTTTCCTGCAAAAGATAGGAAAGTGGCATCCGTATAAAAGGATATTTTAAAATTCTCTGAACTTGATCCCATTTATATTTACTAATTTAAATTTTTTGAAACAGCAGGAGAAAGTTTGCAAGTGAGACTAGTAGATGCAAACAGCATGTAGTTTATTCATTGAAATAAAGACCTATGAATAAAATGCAGATTATTTATGAAGACACACATTGAGTTGTTTAATGTTAAAAACATTAGTAGTTGTTCTTGCTTTGGCAGCACTTATACTAAAATTGGAACGATACAGAGAAGATTAGCATGGCCCCTGCGCAAGGATGACACAAAATAAAAGGCAGGGTAAATCCACATACAATACCAGTACCAACAACAAACCAAAAACAAACAATAATAAACACTCAATGGACCTTAATTTCCCTCAATATTAATGGTCTTAACTTGCCTATAAAAAGACACAGGCTAACAGATTGGATATGAAGACAGAATCCATCCTTCTGCTGCATACAAGAAACACACCTCGAATTCAAAGACAGACATTACCTCAGAGTAAAGGGTTGGGATAGGATACTCCAATCAAAAGGACCCAAGAAACAAGCTGAGGTAGCTATCCTAGTATCTAACAAGATAGACTTCAAACTAAAATTAATCAAAAGAGATGAAGAAGGTCATTTCATATTCATCACAGGAAAAATCCATCAGGGAGAAGTCTCAATTCTAAACATCTATGCCCCAAATACAAAGGCACCCACATTCGTAAAAGAAACATTATTAAAACTCAAATCACAAATAAGCCCTGACACAGTTACAGTGGGAGACTTCAACACCCCACTCTCACCACTGGACAGGACCACCAGACAGAAACTTAACAAAGAGACAAAGGAACTAACAGAAGTTATGACACAATTGGGATTAACAGACATTTATAGAACTTTCTATCCAAACACAAAAGAATATACCTTCTTTTCAGCATCACATGGAACCTTCTGAAAAATCAACCACATTCACAGCAACATAGCAAACCTTAACAGGTACAAAAAAATTGGAATAATCCCCTGTGTCTTATCAGGCCACCATGCTTTAAAGTTAGAAATCAAAAACAAATCAAAGTGCAAAAAAACTACCAACTCATGGAAATTGAACAACATGCAATTGCAACATTCCTGGGTCAAGGAAGAAATAAAGAAAGAAATTAAAGACTTCCTAGAATTCAATGAAAATGAAGACACAACATACCCAAACTTATGGGACACTTTGAAAGCAGTACTAAGAGGAAATTTCATTGCTCTAAGTGCTCACATGAAGAAACTAGAGAATAGCCACACCAGAGAATTGACATCACAGCTGAAAGCTCTAGAAAAAAAATGGAAGCAAATTCACACCGGAGGAGCAGACGCCAGGAAATAATCAAACTGAGGGCAGAAATGAATAAAGTCGAAACAAAGAAAACAATTCAAAGAATCTAACAAAGAGTTGGTTCTTAGGGAAAATCAACAATATAGACAAACCTTTATCCAAACTAGCCAAAAGACAGAGCAAGATCATGCAAATTAACAAAATCAGAAATGAAAAGGGGGACATAACAAACTGAGGAAATCCCGAGAATCTTCATGTCATACTTTGAAAACCTGTACTCCACAAAATTTGAAAATTTAAAGGAAATGAACAATTTTCTGGACAGGTATCACTTACCAAAATTGAATCAAGAACAGATAAGTAACTTAAACAGACATATAACCTCTAAGGAAATAGAAACAGTCATCAAAAGTCTCCCAACCAAAAAAAAAGCCGAGGGCCAGATGGATTCACTGCAGAATTCTACCAGAAATTCAAAGAAGTCCTAATACCAACACTCCTCAAATTGTTTCACAAAATAGAAGCAGAACTTTGCCAAACTCTTTTTATGAGGCTACAATAACCTTGATACCCAAGCCAC